CAGGATGGGAGAAAGAACACATGGAAGGGAGTGGTTTAGATTAAGATATTTTCCCCTCAACCGTCACAGAGAAACACTTCTGATGAAGCTAAACATTGCTAAAATCTTCAGAAGAAACTTACTCCAGGAGTAAGGCCAGGCATGGGGATATGCTGGTCAAAGTCTTTGCAGCAGGGAGCTCAGCACCACAGACAGACCTCCACAGGGGCCAAATGCAGGTGGAATGAGCACTACATTACCCACCGTGCCAGCAGATTGTGCAAGGAGGCCCAGGAGCGCCAAGCTCCAAAACAAGGTCCTGCAGCAGCACAATACAGGACTTCACTACATGAAGACAGGAGTGAGGGTGACTTTCAGTTCTCAGATACTTTGTGCAAAAGAGCTATTTTTGAATCTACCACAACACATGCAGCTTTCTAGTCTCTGGCAACATGAATTAATGCATGAAGTGTCTCATTCCAAATGTAGCAAGCTGGGGTCTCATTATATCCAGCCTGCATGTACACTCTGCCCCTTCCACTCTCTTACTAGCCCTGCATCCTCAAGAACCAGGCAGGATGAAGAAAGAAGATTCTTTGCACTTCTCCTCGGGATATTTAAGAAATAACTTCTCCTGTTTGCAGGCTTCTTCATAGCAGGAACCCATGCATTTCAAATTGTTTTATAAGGAGTTGAAGAGAGAAATGAAATCAAGAATCCAATAAAAATAACATTACATTTGCTTTATTGTATTTTCTGTTCAAGAAAACTTGCCACCACTGTTCCTCGCTCCTGCTGTTTCTGGTCTTTCCTTTCTCCAGTAGAAAGAGGGTGAAAATTATTGTCATCAAGAAAACTGAAAGGAAAAAGTCTTTGTAGTATGCATGTCACACTGGAATGCACAAGGCTCACCAATGAGACAGATGGCTCACAACTAATTCCAAAGTGGCCAAACATAAAAGGAGAAACTTCCAGACCATGTGTTTGCATCAAGACATTCCCACCGCAGGTGGGTGAAGGACTGGCACTCCTATACGTTTTCTCACCTCTCCACTTCTGTGTCCAGAACCTCTGTATCTATTCATGCAGTGAACAGATACAATGACTGCTGTTCCGCAAAATCTAGTATAAAATTACTAGATTTATATTGGGCTTTATTACACAAGGGGTCAAAGAAAAAACACTGGAGTCAGAAAGCTTTGACGGACAAGTTTAGAAAAGTCAGTGTCCGTAGCAAAACGAGCACCTCAAGAAAAACAGAAGTATACAACAGGTATTTAAAATAAACTACTTGGAAATCCACTACCATATTGTCAGGTTGTATGTTTATCAGATCCTCCCATTGACTTACATGGAAACACTTTGCTGTTATGCATGAAAGATTATGCAGGCATAGTGTATCAGTCAGAAATAAAGGCTAACAAAATCTTTAAACACAGAAGTAGTAGGTGGACAAAGGCAAACTGCATACCAAGAAAAGCTCTGTAATAGGCTGAGACAAAGAGGTACCTTTTCCCAAAACCAAACAGCACAGAACTGAAACTAGTAGGACAAAGAATATACTTAGAAAGTAATATTTAAAATCGAGATTAGGAGAATAAGGACTGAACCAAAGAATCAAAGACATAAGGACAATTTATTGACATACATTAGAAGCAGGAAGACTGCACAATTTTCTGGTAGGTTTGAAATAGTACTGGAAAACGAAGGGAGTGAATAAAGAGGAGGGAAAACACTGCAGAAAAGGTAATTGCTGATTATGACCTTGAGATGTTTTGTCATGCAAAAGCGTAAACTCACCCTTTCTCACTCTGCATGACCATGTTAGCATTTCTTGGTAGCTGGGTTCTTGATCAAGAGTACTAAAAAGCTCTATACCCACTAATTGTCCCAAGGAAACTCAAGACTGTACCTCCTTCAGTCTGTATGTCCTTCATTTTCCAGTTCTTTCTCCTTCACACCAGCTAACAGCACTATCTATATCCAAAAAGGGAAGTAAAACTACACTCTAAGAAGTTATGGAATAAGATGTTCCTTCTCTAGAACAGGAAAAGAGTTGGAGGAAATATGACTCGGTGACATGGAGTTCTTGTACAGTCCACTTTTTCTGGGTGGAGCAATTGACCCTACCTCTCTGTGCCCAGAAATCCAGGCAGACCCAGAGGCAGCCTTTAGTTTGGAAAGAAGTTGTCAGGCCTAATAGAGGAGGAAACAGTTAAAAAAAAAAAAAAAAAAAAAGTGGTATTAAAGTTATCAAATCGTATTTTCTGAACCCTCTAGACCACAAATCCCATTCATCTGTTCTTCTGCAAGTAAAGGCAGAGAGAGCAGCTGATAAAATAGAAAGTGTTGAAATAACAGGATAAACTAAAAGACGAGACATTTTCAGAAGTAACATACACATGAAGGAACTCTGAGGCATATCAAGCTTGAGGTTAGCATTTCCAAAAAAATGCACTCTCCCATCTGCACAGTGCACAACACTGCTAACATAATGAAAATTGTCTTTTTTAAATTGGAGTGGATCTGCAGAAGAAATTATTATTTATTTGGCCTTTCAAAAGTGCTTTGATAACATGACTTGTATAGACCATAAAGAAAACAGTAATCATAAGCAAAAGTTAGACTCATGATTTAAAATGAGCCAAGCAGTCAAAAGCGAGATGTGGGAATAAAAAGACATTTTAGAAGGAAAAAGTTAACAGTTGTTGCACGTAGAAGCCACACACTTGCATCAGCTTTTAACATCTGTTTAGAGGCCTGGAAAAATCAGCTGTAAAACATAGTGGCACAATTGACACTTGGAGCATATTTGGGTTATTAAAGACGTTTAACAAAGTTGAGCAAATTTAAAACACTATGATAAATATGTATTGTATAATTACTAAGCAAGTCATATTGCAACATTCTTGACAAAGGGGAAAAGACCTGGGTGCCATCACAAGTTAGCAAAAGCTTTCATGTATATGCAGCCCTGTCAAAATAAATGAATATTTTCAATGCATGCAAAAAAGCTCAGAAAACTAAACTGAAAATAGCACCTTTCCAGTATATATGTGCCAGGAAAATACCTTCAAGGAGAATGCTGTCTTACAGTTCTTTTTAGCTTACCTCATTAAAGCTACAGAACTAACAGGAGTGTAAGTGCAGGTGACAAAAATGATTTGTCTCTCAAGAAGACGGCCATAAAACAAGAGAAAGTGACTAAACTGTTATCAAGCATGCAAGCAACTGGGAACACAGAGATGTGCACTTTTGAAGCCAGAACTGTACACTGACTTTTTTTAAACCTATTTCCAGTCTTGGACAGGAGACCATTCAAAGAAATTAAACAAGCAGCAAGTTTAAACTACAGGTCTATATGATCTCACAAAGTGCAGGCTAAGCGTGTGTAAATCAGTGCCATGGTACACTGTGAAGGGACACTGGTGTGACTTTGAAAGAATAAAGTTCTATGTACAGCCTTTAAAAATATAGCGTTCAACTGGACTGTTTGCTGGAAAGCCACTTGCGCAAAGCCATAACAAAGCCATTGACCAAGGAATCTAGCTGGCCCACTTTCTGACAAGGACAGGGTATTCCAGAAGGATCAGATGTTGGTCCTTTTTGTCCTCTATTCTCTTACCAACAACTCCCTATAAGAACCGTCAGAGTAGACAGACATAGCATTAATTAGACTGTGAATCTGATCCAATGCAGTAACTTCTACATTTAAATGTTTCATATGCCAAAACAGTAACAACAGCAACAAAAATCTCAAGAAGTGTAATAAAAATGAATAATTAATCCTTTAAGATAGCTACTGTGCCTAATGCAATTCTACAAATGTATTGCCCAAACTTCACAAAAATACTTAAAAAGTACATATGTTGAGTTAGCCACCTGCTTTTCCTCTCTCTCAATAATTAGCAAGAACTTAAATTATAAGATACTGTTTTACCATACAAATGTTATTCTTTGTTTGTTTTATTATCTTTTTTTCTCCATGCACACATCATTACATGCAAAGAAACATTTAGTAATTATTCCAAGATGTGTGTCAGGTGCTGGCATATTGCCACTTGTACAGTGGTTTGCTACTACACTTAGCCTTCAGTCTTGTGGCTAACGATTCACAATAAATGTGATATTCCACCACAACCCACATGCTGCTATTCTTCAAAAGAAAACAAGGATATATAATTAAGAGATGATGATTCTCAAATATAAGACAGGAGATGATGGAACAGATTCTGTAACCACACCTGAGTGGTTATACTACCATAGAAGTTTCTGCAGCACCACCTTCACTCATAGTATCAGTAAGTCACACATTTTCAAAATACTTGAATAACATTTGATGTAGCAGAGGAAAAAGTAGAGTGGTAATACCACACCACTGCAGAAAAATAACATCTATTACATAAAATTAAGAATGTAAGTAAGCATTATTAACAAATAGCCCTTGTACACAGCGTGACCCAAGTCTTAAAACATATACTATTACTAGAAATACTGTTGACAAATCTCATCCCTCAAGAATTTTTTGCTTTAAAATATTCTCTAAATCTTGTTACAACCTTTCATGATCATTAATATGATAGTTTAATTTAAAAATAATATAAAATAAAATAATATAAAAAAATACAGAGGAAACTGTGTGTATACGTGCCAGTTTAGGGGCTAATGCAGCAGCATTGTGCATGGAAATAAAAATTAAGAACTAATTACAGATCCACTTTAGAGTCTACAAGATCAGTCCCTTGATAGCTATTTGCAACAAACAAAACATCAAACCATTTTCCTTATTGGTCTGAAAATGTTGGAACTATTTTTTGGGGGCTTTGTTATGATTAGTGAAAGAGTTGAGAAATCTGGGGTAAAGCAAAACGCAAATAAAGCTGCTGAACTCAAGTAATAGCTGACCATCCTTTATAAATATGCATTAATATAGGATTAATGAATAAGGTTTAAGAAATAACAGGATTAAATTCTTACTTGATTTATCATTAAAAAAATAAAATAAAATAAATCTGTTTTACCTAAAATTCTTCTTTTTGTAACGATGAAGGACTGCAACTTCAAAGCCAATCTCTGTTTGCATGGCCAGAGCCTCTAAAAGCAGCAGCCGCACCCTTGTCTTCCTCATTTTTTTCTACTGACCATGAAATACATTCTAAGCCAGGCACTGAAAAACAAAACAAAACAAACAAACAAAAAAGAACACAAAAAAAAACTTAAATACATTTTTAATGGACACCAGATACCACATGGCTGATTTAATTAAGCAGATTAAAAACAAATAAGTATATTTGCACACATATATTTGTATTTTCTGTTTCATTTCAAACAAATTTTGTAGGCCTGATTTGGCTCTCTAGTCAAATCACAAGAAACATCATTAAGACATGTTCCGTACTGATGGCAGATTCAAGCCATCTTGCTCTTCCAGAATTTAATATAGCACTTATTTCACTGGTTCTGGAAAAAAATAAATAAATCACAGATCTGAGGCTTTTCAGAGTATCTTGGGACAAGCCTACTGACTTTGCAATAGAAACCAACACAAGACAAGCTTTGAAAAATGTTCCAGAGGTGCTCTCTTCAGTCAGTGGGGTTGCATGGATTTTAATCTGGGAAGATCTGTTTAATTTGGACTTCATTACAGAAAAAAAAAAAAAAGTAATATTTGAATAAAACTTTCTCAGCTTATATATCACTCAACCTCACCCAGACTATTAAACTATTTACATCACTGTACCTTTAAAAGTCAGTATAATACTGCAGAGAGAGTATCACCCAACACATACTTACTGTTGTTGTATTTCATACAATTTATTTCATCAATAATTCTACAGTACATAGAACATTATAGAAATTGATTGTTGCTATAAACTGTTTTGCATATTGTATTATCTGCTGGCTTTAATTTATCATTTAAATGACAGTAATTATACTACATTTCATATTCTATTTAACCACATAGAACAGAAATGCATAGTAATAAACAACTTTTTCCAGTATTTTAAAAACAAAACAAACAAAAACCCACTTATATTCAAATAACCAGCTCCATCGTTCAACAACAAAGCAAAAATACATATTTAGGGGCAAATATGCACAAAGATACTATTGTTCAATTACTATTAGGACTGTGAAAATAATGTAAATTTAAATAAACAAGCAGTTTATTTTAATAACTAAATATGTGACCATAATCTGCATGTTAATGTTATATTTCCCAAAAGAGCAAAGGTAGTGTATGATGCCAAATGCAAAAGAATTTCGTAATCCCACTACCTACTACTTATTTATTCATGTATGATTCCCCAGAAAAACACTCTTATGAACAAATTATGTACTTTCAGTATCAGTAAGGCTGTTCACAGAGGCATTTACATAGTCCTACATCCTAATAGGTTACAAATATACAATTTTGAAATCTTGAAGCCTGCATAATACAAGGTTAGATACAGTACACTTGCTGTATACACACTTGCACATATAGTAAAATACAATTAACTTGAATAACATCAATATTATAGTGTTTATAGACATGCTTATTCATGCAGATTTTTTTTCCCCTCTTAACTGCAGAGTATTAGGCGGTACATGTACCTTTCACCATACTGAAATGCTCTGGTACACACACAACACTGACTTTTAAATCCAAATACAGCAAGAAAAACGTTAGCATGCCAGTATTTTACTGGTCTGTAACAGTGACCTTCAGCTAAGCCCTCCCATCCACATATTCTGTGTCAGAAAAGCTCACTTACTCCAGACTGCTTGCATTCATATATTCGAAGGTGCTCTGCATAAAAAGGAAGCAACAATCCAAGAGTTAACAAAAAAAAAAAAAAAAAAAAAAAAAAAAAAGCCACAAAACCCCTAAACCAACACAATACCAAAATCCCCAGCCATACTGAAGACCTTGGAAAAATAAAACATTCAGCAGATAACAGCCCAACAAAAAGCAAACAGAGAATTTAGTGTCCCAGCATTGCTTGGATACCAGCTTGGGATTTAGGTAGCCTTGGATTACAAGGACTATTCCCTTGAAAATCTAGCCCACAGTTCCTGTACTCTTTTCTACCAATACCGCATCCAAACTGTAACTAAACACCTCATCATGCTTCTCTGGCACTATCTGAAGCAAACATATTGTGCAATTTTATGTGGCACCTAAAAACAGGGTTAAAAAGAGGCTATTTTCCTTCCAGAACTGCACTGAAATGACAGACAGCAAATTGTGCACAAGCTTGCATGATCACTGAATGCCCCCCCTCTTCTTTCTGCAATAGGCAACAGGTGACAAAACACATCCCCCAACCTTCAACTTTAAAAAAAAAAAAAACAACTCATCTACAAGATACCTATAATAAAGCTTTTTTTTTTTTTTTAATTATTATTATTAAAATTGGGAGAAGAGGTTTAACTGGGCCCTACATTGACTTCATCAATTAAATGCCTTTTGCAGATGGTAGATGTTTCAATTAAAGAAATTCCAGTCCTCCCAGTTACAAATAACCAGTGACTTCAGATAACAATCCAGTACTGACAGATCTTACAAGAGAAAAAAGCAAACTGTTAAAGCATTTTCAAAGCAGCTGTATGCCTCAAATACTTGACTACAATCTCTTTATCCATTAACATGCTAATTGATCTTAAATCCATAGATGAATTATGAAGCAATAACCTACAATTTTCTTAACTCTTACTCCAAATAAACATTATATCCTTATTTATGAATATTTGAAATATTTCATTTGTTGCTTACGACACTTAAACAGTTAATCTGATTTATGAGACGAATACCACATTAAAGATTCCTGCTATTTTCTTATTGAAGCTTCACCACTTCAAAAGCATTTCTTCTATCTGTTATTATTCAGAAGTGGTCTTTTGTGAACTGGACATATCACTACAGCTCACGAGGCCATGTTCACAGCCGGATTTCCTTGCCCATCTCCATGTTACTCATTAAATAATTTCATTCCACTACGTACATAAGCAGCTGCTCAAGTGCAAGAGATGACTTTGCATTCAGTCGCCCCACACACTTCAACCTGAAAGCCTTTAAGAAATAAAAATCACGAGGCTAGACAAACGATCAGTTTCTACCACTGGCCATTTCTTGAGGCTTACATCGCTCCCGGTGACAGCCTTTCTCAAGCAGCAGCACACTGTGCTCCAGCAGTACACCTGTGCCCCTTTTAGGCAAACCCCCACCACTGATGTTTTAAACTGTTAAGGGCAGGCTGCTGATTAAAACCGCTTCGATTCTGCTAAAACCTATTTCACAATTAAAAACGAGCTGCTTTTAAGGGCACTAGTTCATGAAATATTTAAACGCTTACATATAGCTTTGTAATTTGAATGCAGGTCTTCTCTTTACAAAAATACAGATTTGCAGCACCAGGGAAGAGTACCCAGTACAGCAGATGGTTAAAACCCTGCATCATTTTTAATAGCCTTAAGAGCAAGCACTGCCTTTTTTCGGTCGGGGGGGCTGGGGGTGGAGGAGAGGAGAGAAAAAAAGCTGAGAACAGCAATTTGCAGACCCTTTTTTTTTTTTTTTCCTTGACAGCAGCTAGCCACGCCTTAGTCTGGTCCTTCCTCCAACCTCTGCTAACCTAAAAACCAGCGCCAACCTGGCAGCAGGCCATATATTCAAAAGTAAACATTATTCTCCTGCCATTTTTCAATGTTGTTTATCATAGCCTGATCTTTCTGCTTTTTTTTTTTCTTTCCCCTTCTCCTTTCCCTCCCTCCTGACATCAAAGTCATGCTCTTATCGAACATGGCAAACTCGCAGAAAACGCGTTGTAGGGATTTTACCTGCGCCCAGCGAAGCAGCAGCCTATTTTGGAGTGCAAAAAAAAAAAAGAAAAAGAGCAAAGGCAAGCCAGGTACATCTTCAAATACTGCTGTCTCAGAACTAGGTGGTACGTCCTTCTCCATCACTACAGTAACGAGCTCTTTCTGCCAAAACGCATGCACTCCGTGCAGAGCCCGTAACTACCAGTAGAAATCTTGCTTGCTCTCGCAAAGCCTTTCTATTTTCTTGTTTAATCGCACCGGGAATGCTTCGAAACCAGAGAGCCCGAGCACGCCGGCGCCGCACCCGCAGCACTGCACCTGACTCTTTGTTAGCCCTCGCCGCTCTCTCCCTGTCCCTTCCGCTCCTCGCTGCCTCCTCCCACCTTTGGCTGAAAAATAAATAAATAAAGACTACTAAAAACTAGTTGCCTATTGCTGGTTTTTATTTTAACCGCTGCATCGAATGGACAGAAGACAGACAAAAAAAAGGGGGGGGGGGGGGGGGGGGGCGGGAAAAAAGGGTTAAACATAAAAATGATAAAAAGAAGGGAAAGAAGAAGAGGAACAATTAAAAAAAATAATGGGGGAGGAGGGTAAAAAGAGGAGCGAGGGAGGGAGGGGATGCTGCGTCGTGGCACCCGGACCGTCGCCTTGTGCGCTACGGGGCCCCGCTGCCCGCCATCGGCCATGTTGTGCAGGCTGGTGGCGGGCAAGGGCAAAGTTTATTGCTCGGCTTGGCTGCCCTCACCCACTCCACACACACACCAACCCCCCGCGGGCCCCTTTCATCGATTTTATTTGGCACCCCAACCCCAACCACCCCTCGGGCTTGCGCCCGCCCCGCAGCGGGGATGCAGGTAGAGACAAGCGGGGGGGGGGGGGGGGGGGGGGAGCAACTAGCGCTGCTCCGGGGACGTGCCAACCCCTCCTTCTCCTTCCTCCTCCTCCTCCTCCTCCTCCTCCTCCTCCTCCTCCTCCTGTCCTGTCCTGTCCTGCTCTCCATCCTCCTCTTCCTCCATCCCCGCCGCAGCGAGGTGAGCGCTGCTCAGCGCACAAAAGCCCGTATTTATTTATTTAGTGTGCGCAGAGTTAAGGAGGAGCCTTTGTGCACATCAATTTCACACCCAGCAGCCAGGAGATGCCATGCCATGCTGCTGCTGCTGCTCCCCCCTCCCGCCGGTTGACACAGCTCGGCTGCAAGCGCCACAGGACAGCCTGGAGGCTCATTAATAATTGCGAGCGGCTCGCCATTTCCATATTTAAATTGGGAAGCAGCGTATGATTAATTAAGAAGAAAAAGGCCAGGAAAAAAAAAAAAAAAAAAAAAAAAAAAAAAGGCCTGCGCTTTCTACCCAATCTGACACT